TGAATACCTATAAATACACTTAAAGCATGCGTAACAAAATCAGCTTCCTCGTACCTTTCTCTCTAATGGGAATGTTTCTAGTAATTGAATACAATGACATCACAAGTGATAATGGCAAAGCGGCATTACCCATATCTTTTGAACTCGATTGGGCTGCATTCTTTAACACTGACCACATCCCAATGGTACTGTACCAAACTTAATATCTACCACAGTACTAAACCTCTGTTGATTGTTCTTCAATGGTTCTACACGACCTTACAATGTGTATAACTGAGACTATTTTCGCTCCTCCATACCAACTCAGACACGTTTGCAAACTTTCAAAACTCCACATACACCAAAGAACTCGTATCCTTTTGAATCAAGACTAACCAACAAGGTGAGATTTTTCTTCAAATCTAGAACATGTCGAACGTGATCAAGTGTTCTAAATGTCTTATCCAACAGCTTAAGTTTGACTCTACCAATACCAACTATCAATAAGATGCATTGTTTTCCATGACTGCGACACCTTTCGAAACTGTTTCATATGTTGCAAACAAATCCCAGTTGGGACACATGAAAAACACGACTGAATCCAGAGTCCTTTCTTTTTACAATAAAAAAATTGATTACTAAAATTAGATTTAGACATGCACGTTTCGTGACTACAATGAACAATAAAGCCTTCTCCATCTCTAGTCTCATATTCAACTAGATGCTTCATCCTCTCCTTTGAAAACAAAGCATCATATGCATCTTCAATGGTGAGAGTATCATGACTGTACAAAATCATTTCTCTAAATGATGTAAACGAAGTGGGTAATGAACATAAAAGAATTAAGGACAAATATTTTTCATCATACTTCTAAAGTCTTCAAATCAACGACGATTTCTTTAAAAATAGCTAGGTGATCTCCTGAAGATCCGTCTTCTGTCATGCAATGAGAATACAAACACCGCTTCCGGTTCAATTTGCAAGTTAGACTCTTAGTCAAGCATAAGTGCTCCAACTTTAACTATAATGCAGCTGCGGACTTCTCATTCAAAAACTTTCTGAAAAATATTATTCGAAAAATGAAGCTAAATTTGTGAAAGTATCTTTTGATCCTTAGTTGTTTATCATCCATCGTCCAAATTGTGAACATTTTGTCAAATTCCAACGACACATCATTCAAATTCATCTGAGCGAGTACTGCTTGCATTTTCACGTGCCACAACGAGAATCTAGTGCTACAATACAAAAGTGGAATGTCATACTTCATGGTTGCCATCAAGAAAAAAAACCTTGAACAAATCAAACCAAAACTTTGATACCACTTATTAGAAAGTGAACGAGGTTATACAACACGATATAAAATATTGATCACAACAAGAATGCTAGAAACAAAAATTTAATTTGACAAAGGAATTATAAATTTTATTCAACTACAATGTAGAAAGAAATTACAACAATATTGTATTTCTACACAATTTTAACTTGCAGTAATAAATTAACTTGTAAAGAAGAGTCTTCTATTTATAGGGTTACATGTCAAACCCTAATAATAGTCGTAAATATGGAAAGTAGGTAAAAAATATGTAGAATAAATAAAATAAGGAAAACTCGAATGACAGCGGCCCTCGAGCGCCGACAGGTGCAAGGCTCACGGTTGGCAGGCAACAGGTCCTCTATTGAAAATTCCGTCTCGCCCTTTTAGCGTACAACTAGTGGTAGGCTAGCACCGTCAATCCATTTTTTTTTTCGTGGACCCTATTTAGGCATCTTTGAGGCCCAACACAACAAACAATGCAAAACCTGGATGAATTTGGATCACAAACCCAAGACTAGGTAACAATAATTTTTTCAACACTTACCAACTAATATAATTAGGGGAAAATACAATTAGAAAAATTTCTATGGCTTTTATTATGGATACGATATGCTTGACATTGAGTTTATTGTGTTTGGCGCTGATGTGAATTAAAATAGAGAACTACGTCCATCCAAAAGTGTGAGAGTTCAGAGATATTGAGTGCTGGGATTTGAAGAACTATAGCCAAGGTGAAACTTGTTAAAATTAATTCAAAATAGTAGAATTAAATTAGAAATCAAAGTAGTAATCTACTTAAAATTCTAATTCAACATTAGCTTTTTGGGTGAAAAATGATTTTATAATGGAATACGCCTAATTCAATTTGGAAAAAGATTTTATATGTGATTAGGAGAATGATGAGGGATTTTATTATAAATATAGCATGCATAGCCTATGTTCTAAAAAGCGTAAAACTTGGCTAGACATGCAGGCCAAGTTTCAAACTTTATAAGCCTAGACGTAAAAAAGCGTTTTTAATTTTAAATTTTATTTTAGATTTTTAATCATTGTAAAAAAATTCAAATAATACATATCAAACATCTAAAATTATAAAATACTATATTTATTTAATAATTCCTACATAAAGATAAGTTTCAAAATCATAA